AATTGTTATCGTGGTACAACCGTCAATGAACCTGAATCATATTGACTTGTATCATCAACTTATAAGATATTCAAATGAGTTCTATAGGTTTTGTATACAAACCTATATGATATCACCGATCATTATAATTAACGAAGTTCAAACAAAGACAAAAATATTATTCTCTGTATTCCAAGATGATATCAAATCATCATATAGAATAATTTAATTGTATCAGAAAAATCTCAACTCATTCGTCTCTTATCCATTGAGCGGATGTCATCATCAACAGCCTACTGTGAGAGAGAACAAACCAGCTTCCATCTGAAGAGGAAATCGGAAAAAGGCGATGGAAATGGATAGAACATACATTACGGAAATCACCAAACTACATCACGAGGCAAGTCCTAACTTGGAATCCTGAAGGGAAGCGGAAAAGAGTAAGGCCAAAAAACACATTACGTCGAGAAATAGAAGCAGATATGAAAAAGATGAATATGAACTGGAAAGGATTGCCCAGGACATCGTTGGATAGAGAGTACTGATGGGCAGGATCAGCTCCTCCACGAGGAGTAACAGGCATAACTAAGTAAAGTAAAAGTACCTATTGGTTTAGCTAATACAATACGTTATATATTTTTTTTCAATATCAGTCAATCAAAACTATGTTCTAATAGTTGTTGTATTCTCCAATATTCATTCATTTAGGATATTGACAGTGTAATCACCCGTGCAATATCTTCAAATGTTCATGGTGTTATTGTATTAACCGAGAATAGAAATGATTTTCCAAAAAATATTTGAATTAAAAAAGAGGTATACTCCTTATTAACCACATATATATTTCATTTGTCAGTTAATTACTTAATTTACATCATGGTTAAAGCATTAAATTTATTATGTAATAGTCGAATCGGTCAATTAAGGATTATCAGAAGTAGTTTTGTGGAGATTTTAGAAATTTCATTAGTTGAAATCATGAGTCGACTACCATGGAAAACCTGGAAGTACTGGACGGCCGTTTTGACCTAGTATGGAACTCTTCAGCGGTGAGCATCCACGATCCCGCCCCCCCGCGGGATTCGAACTTAGGACCTATCAGTCTAGCTTCAATTGACTCATGAGATCAACTATAGCAATTAAGGATTATTAAAGCAAATCAAAGTAATGATTTAAAAAAAAATTATTATGTGGTTCTTCACGTTCACAATTCCTTTCTATTTTCTCTTCTATTCTCTTCAACTTTACCATCTTAGCCTTCAGATGTCAGTTTTCAATTTCGATTAGTGTTACACACTACTTATGCTTGTCGACATAAGTAGCATACAACGCATTAGTAATAACGTACAGATTTCCTAGTTGAAGGATACTAAGAACAGTGTAAAGTTGTGTAGATTATCAAGCTTTTGGTTGAGATCATGAACTGATTGGTGTTAGACCATCATTGAAAACCTGGAACCATCGGACGGCCGTTTCGTCCTATTGTGGGACTCCTCAGCAGTGAGCATCCACGCCCCCGCTTGCGGGATTCGAACCCAAAACCTATCAGTCTGGCTCGCGAACGCTTAACCTATATACCACTGAGCCGACTGGCATCCAACAGTGTTAATGCCTAACCTCAACCAATCCACAACATTGCGCCACCATCTTCTATTGTACTGAGGTACATAACTGTCTCTACCTGACATGGATTAGCTCCACTGGTCACAACTTCTCACTAGAACCATATAATGAGTTCAGTTTACCACGTAGAGTATGTTTACCTTAAATCTTAATAGTAAATTTAATAATATCAATTATCTTTAGTTTTTAAAGGACTCTAGTAATAGAATATTGTTTATTTACATCCATTTTAAACATCATCAGTGCCTAGGAAGTATTTTTCTTTTAAAAATACTTGACAGCAGTGTTAAAGTATACCCTTTTTTATTTATTCAGTGTATGAATATGACTTGAAAATTTTGGGTTGAATATCTAGATGTTGTACATGTTTGGGGGAATCTCTATTAATTGAAATCCATTATATATTACTTATATAAGAATGTTTAATGAAATAGTATAATCGAAATGATTGTTCTCTTCTCCTTTTTCAAATGGAAACAAGGATAAAATCAATAGCTTAGTGAATTCATTAATTCATTCATTCTTTTTAATTTTTCACAGATACTATCCAAAAATAGTAATATTCAGTGTTAGAAACAAACCAAACATCAAATGTACAGTCACTTAAACTAGTGATGATCAATCAATAGTAATTATTAAACATAAGCCTTAATTCAAGTTGGTTACAACATACAGGTTTAGATTATTGATCAATGTTGGACTGTCATTGAAAATCTGCAAGCACTGGAAGGTCGTTTCGTCCTAACATGGGGCTCTACAGCAGTGCATATTCACGATCCCATACGTGAGATTGGGACCCAGGACTTTCGGTCTCGCGAGCGAACGCTCAATCTCCAGACCACTAAGCCGAGGTCCAACGGTACTGATGTCTAACTTTAATCAATCCACGATATTTTGCGTCCATTTCCTTTTATCTTTGGTGGGTAACTACCTCACACCCGACATGGATAAGCTTCACTGATCACAACTTCTCATTAGAACTCCGAAAGTTCCATCCTGAATTTAGTCACTATTGGGCACATAATTATCAGTATAGGGTTGTAGGGATTGTTGAGTTTAGATTGAGATCATGAGTTGATCAATATTGGGACATTATTGAAAACCTGAATTCAATGGACGGCCGTTTCATCTTAACATGGAACTCCTCAGTGAGCATAAACAATCTTGTACAAATAATATGGATGAATTAAACTAATTGTTGGTGCAGTTAATTATCTTAGCGTTTGTTATACCAACATTATAATTCAACCAATCCGCAAAGAGGCATGCTATGCTACTGTCCAGTAGTAGCATGCCACGTTGATATTCTAGAAAGCTCCATCATGTTCTGATTGAATGGAAACTCTTCGGTTCCTTTAGGGTCTCCGGAATTCTCGGAAGCCGTCTCAACACCATTTTGTTGTGTCTAGTACCTCCCTAGCCTCTTGAAAAGCTAATTTATTCATCCTTCTTGAGTCAAATTCTGGTCTTCTTAATTATTCACTTATCAGTCTTGACTGTTTTTATATGAGTATATGTGTGCGTATTTCTTATCTAATCACATTTCTGTAACTTATTTTTTATCTGACCACAAACATTGAACTACGCATGACCCAATCAAGTTGGCTCTCTCGCCTTCTCCAATCTGTCTCGCTCCTCTCTCTCCTTTTCGCTTGTTTTTCTGATCATCTGTCTGGATCGACGATTGTGTGAAATATACGTCTTCGAAATTCATCCTAATATTTGTCTTATTTAATTCTGTTATTCATTAATGCGATTTAAGTTGATGATTATATACGAAGGTTACCGGGATATATATTTTCCTATGATAATCATAATATGATTTAATTATAGTCAGATAAAAGGTCATCACAATTCAATGATGATGATTTCGGCGAAGCTTAATAAATTAAACGTGATTAACTCATTAATTTATTACTTACAGATTGTAATGAACTAAAGAAAAGTCACAAGTGATACTTCTGTTTACCTACTTCAGTTTTTTTAGTTTTCTTAATTAATTGTTTTGGGTTAAACACTTTTCTGATTGGTTGATAAGTGGTCAATTCCATCTGTATAGTTTACTTCCCAATTTAAATAATTTTCTTCTAAATAAACATGGATCGTTTTAAAGTGAATATAGATTGTATTAGCTATATTAATTACTTACTTACGCCTGTTACTCCTAATAAAGTATAAGCCACCGACCAACATTCTCCAACCCACTCTGTCCTCGGCCTTCCTTTCTAGTTCTATCCAATTGTTGTTCATTCTTCTCATGTCTATCTTCATTTCCCGACGTAATGTGTTCTTTGGTTTTCTTCTTTTCCTTTGACCTTGAGGATTCCGAGTGAGGGTTAATCTTGTGACGCAGTTCGGTGCTTCCCTCAATGTGTGTCCTGTCCACTTCCAGCACTTCTTCCTAATTTTTTCCTCCATCGGAATCTAGTTTGTTCTCTCCCACAATAGGTTGTTGCTGATGGTATCCGGTCAACGGATCAGAAGTATTTTGTGTAGACGACCGTTGGTAATCACTTGTATCTTCTGGATGATGGCTTTCGTAGTTCTCCAAGTTTCTGCCACATACAGTAGAATCGTCTTGACATTTGTATAGAAAATCCTGACTTTGGTGTTGGTTGACAGTTGTTTTGAGTTCCAGATGTTCAGTTGTAGACATACTGCTTTTGCTTTGCGGATTCGTGCCTTCACATTTGCATCAGATCCACCATGTTCATCAATGATGCTGACCAGATATGTAAAGGGTTTTACATCGTCCAAATCTTCTCTGTGAAGTGTGATTGGATTGGTACATACTGTGTTGCATCGGTGAATCTTGCTTTTCCCTTTGTGTATGTCGAGACCTACTGCTGCTGATATAATGGTTGTCTTCTCCTGCATTTGTTGTTGCGTGTGCGATAGAAGAGCCAGATCATCTGCGAAGTCTAGTTATGTAGTTGAATGCAATCCATCAAATCTATATTTTACTACAGTTTTGTGTTATTCAATACTTGTCAATAAAGTTAATCTAGTGTCTACAGACAATTGATCATCCTCCGAAAACTGTTGACATAAGTCAACAGACATGAAATATTCGTTGAGGGTCTTTTACTGATTATCCATTATTATCCAACAAAGAAATCCAATTCAAACAATACTGAAACATAAAGATAACTGATTAATTCCCTATAATACTAGATCACTATACAATACTGGGAATTCCTCATTTTCGTTTATTTTTCAGCGCAAATTATATATCCTAGACAGATATATTAATTTATTTATGTATACTTTCATTACTGTTTTGATCCTCATTCCTAACTAAACGGTTTACCTTTACCATAGACCCCACATAATACTTACATAATAAGGTTTGAATAAAATGTAACATTTCCTATCTGAAAAGCTTTGATCTTCTCAAGATGTTAATTAAGTAAACATATAAAGCTATATTGTATTGAACAAGAATACAAGTGAGGACAATCAAATGTATTTGTATACAAAATTACAGAATATCATAGTCAATTCTGAGAACCATACAGTAAATACTTCAATTGCAGCATGTCAATCAATCGTGTTGGATTTGATTGTTCTGTCGTTTTCACACCAATCATTTCTTTTGTTTTTGTTCTCTTTTTCTATGATCTTCTTAACCTTCTATTAACAAATATTTTATTATCGATTCGTGATACATACTACTTATATCTGTCTAGATCAGTAGTACATACCACTATATGAATTGTAATTTAGAAGTAGAAAATAATTTTAATAAAACACTCCAAAAATTTTTGACTGACATCAAAAAAACGTTTCTAAATTAATTGAAATATCTTAGAAACAACATAATCAACTATTTATGGTCATAAAAGTTTAATTCTATGATGGAATTCGACCTCATTTAGCTTCTATGAGCAAGGTAGAACAAATTTATGTTTGAATCTCATTTTGGTTAACTGTAGTTGTTAGAGAATTGAATAATTTATTTAAAGAACTTATCACAATTAAATTTGATAGGGGAACTTTTGGAATTCAAATAACGATCAGGATTTGTCACGATCTAATTGAATGCTGTCACAATATTCCAAGAATATTTCAAAATATCACACAACAACAAAAAAATCCTCACGATCATTATAACTAGACGAAATTTCAATAGAAATATATTTATTTAACAATCATGAGGATTGAACAAAGTCGCAAATTGACATTAACACCGTTGTATGCCAGCTCAGTGGTCTAGAGTTAAAGAGATTGTGCGAGAGACTGGCGTCCCCTGGGTTTCATTTCCAGATTCAGGGTCGTGGATAGGAATTGTACAAAAATTACTCAACAGGTCCATCAAATACCGAGTCATATGAGTGAGTAGTATAGAGTTATCTTCATTTTAATTAAGAACATTTATATATCTCCATTAGCTTCCTTGACACTATGAACATTTGGTTAAGAGGGAATGACCCTTGAAAAATAAATGGTATTATTACTATGATGCATAAATCATTATAATCAGGTAAAGTTAATGATTCTAAGTTCTTTTCAAAGTACAATGTATGATATCATAATACAGAATCATTTGTAAAATGGAGTCCTTAAAATGTTTAATTATTATTATTTAAATAGTTGGAATCATGAGTCGATTAAAGGTAGACCACCATGTAAAATCTGGAAGCACTGGACGGCAGTTTCGTCCCACTACGTGACTCCTCAGCAGTGCGCATCCACGACAAAACGATCGTCCAGTACCCCCAGGTTTTCTATGGTGATCTAACTTTAATTGACTCATGATCTCAGCCATTGAAATTACTAGAATATCCACAAAAACCCTTCTGATATTATTATTTATTTTAATTTTTTGATATTTAGATATCCAGACTGGATTAATGTTTGCCTTGGGATTCATCCTGTTCAGGTAAAAAAAACATTTTACATGTGAATTACAAAAGACTATCTATTCTATGAATTCATTTAATTTCATAGGTTTATATCTAAAGTGTTACATAAATTATTTTCCCCTGGATAGAAGTTTCAACGAATAACATTACAGTTATGTTCAAAAGATTTTAATAGAGAATGATTTATAAGCAGAGATGAATAGTGGCTAGCATTGGAATCTAGGACGTGCGTTTCGTCCTATTTACGACTCGTCATCAAACTCTTTTTATAATGCTTGTGAATTAACGCTATATCGAGGCGATTCGTTTAGGATGCACATATGTCAATAAGAAACTGATCATTTGCAGTCCTGAATATCATTGGGAAAATTCAATTAACCAATGCTCAAAAATGAGAATGATTTAACTTATGATTCATGTTCTTCATAACATGCGAGATAGTTCGACGATTATCCAATTCAGCGGTAGCCCAATTAGGGTCAATCTGTAGTGGACAAAAGCTATAGAGTAAAGCGATCACCATAAAACCCCCATAAGTGAATTATAGTAGTCAATTTACTAATGACTTACTTCATAAAGCTCCGAAAACTCTAGTGAGAACTCCTAATTGATGAAGAACAGACATCTCGGGAGTAAAGCCGATATCATTAACAGCATTGAGTGACTGTCTTTTAATATCAGAACCTGAATAAATTGAAATAGTAAAATTGGATGCAAACACAGTGGCTCTAATTGTTGGGTGTTAGACGAGAAACTTCGAAAATCCTATGTTCGGTACTTTGTAAGTTATGGGTGTTCAGTCCGTAGTCATCCTAAATACTCATTACTGTATCCTAAAATTGTATTCATAGGGCATTATTTAATATTAAAAACATATAGAGAATCGAATGAAATTTCACACTTCTGACTATCTCAAGTGATTTATTAAATTGTGCTGGTGACGATTGTTTAAACACCACCAATCACAACTTCACACTGGAACTTCAGAAACATTTTGAATCAAGCTATCACTGAGCTAACTATAAAAGTTTATTACTATAATAATTTCACAGTTAAATTTATGAGTCGATTGAAGCTAGACCAACATTGATAGGTCCTAGGTTCGAATCTCGTGAGGCGTGATCGTGGATGCTCACTGCTGAGAAGTCCCATACTAGAACGAAATGGACGTCCAGTGTTTCTAAAAGTTTAGTTAAATTTTATTTGTCATAAATCAATTTAATCTTCATTTCAAGATGATCGTCAAGGTCTAATGTTAATTTATCACTATCAGAGTTCAAGTATTCCATCATTACATATTTATTTATATTCTATAACTCACGGACGACTTTTGAGTGACTTTGACAGTGTCCTAATAACTAGGACCAAATGAAGATTATAAACCAGTATGAAGGATTAGAATTATGATTTACAATTTATAGTCAAGATTACGGATTAGATTTAGAGTTTTCATGACGAAATGGTATTTTGTCAAATGGGTGAATGAACCTGATTAGTTCATACATAGATTATAGTCTCTCCGGAATAACTTACAGTTCCTTTCTCCTATTGTTATTCTTGTTTTTTTGTTTTTTGTTTTAGAAACAAGAAGGAACTCACAATGGACAACGTAGTGTGAACATGAAAGTTTGTCAATAAAATTTCATAGTAAAATTCTTATTACTTTTAGGATTTAAAACATACTCGTGATATGATCCTTCAACATAAATCTGAAATTGTTGGCATTGGAGAGGTATGTCAAATTATAATGGTAGAAATATTGAATTCTTTTTCTTTTCTTTTTTCTTCAATCTTATTCTTTATATACATTAGATTGGATTAGATTTTACACCGACAATATGTTCAACTAATGAATTACAAGATTTACAAAAAAGTATATTCACTATACAAATTCAATTGGCTAAACAATTGAATTTACCAGTGTAAGTTGAAATGTTTATTGTTTTCTTTTTGTGCTTGCCTATTTTCTTCATTGAAAAACGATTTCAGTGTTATTCATAAATACCGTTGAGATGGTAGAGAAGATTTGTAGCCCAAGTGGAGTTTTATTCTCTGAGTTGTATGATTTGATCGTGGAACTGTCATCATTATTCTAAATGACATCATCAGCATAAACTTCAAATAGAAGTAAAGTATTCGAATTTATCCGCATATGACTGACAGCTTGTCCTGTAGACCTAGAAGTTGATTGATTACTGTTAACCTTTAAACTGTCATTGTTTACTTCTTTATTTTCTTTGTATCTCCTATTAATGGGAATTCCGGTCAAATATTTGTACATAATTTTACTGGTTGGTTGATAAATTGGATCGATTTCAATCAACATCAAGGTCTACAGGATAAGCTGTGAGCCATATGTGGAGAAATTCGAACACTTCACTTCTACCTGAAAATAGGTGCTAATGATGTCGTTCAGAATAACGACGAAAGCTCCACGACGGAATCATTCAGTTCAGAGAGCAAAGTTCCATCAAAATAATTACCGTTATTATCAGTACTATTTCATAAAATTGTTCAAACTGATAATTAAAACAGTAATCATGGACTGTAATTAGCAATGGAATCCAGAATACACGTTTTGTTCTACTTGAAACATCTTGGAATGTTATGTTTTCATTTCATTGTTGACTATAACCCAGTATTTTTCATTTTAGATGATAAAGCAGTTATTCACGAGACAATGGAATCCATATTGCCACTATCTTTTTTAATGCTTATAAAGGTAATATAAAGAGTTGAAATTTGATTTTTATCGAAAATCCACGAAGGATAGATATAAGGCAAGAAAAACTGATAGGTTATAGTACTGATTTTTAATAGCAAGAAATTACAAACTACTACAAATTGTAACCATCGAACTTGGTTGTAAGGAATTTTGTGGTTATAGCAACAAGATTGTTGAAACAATATTGGACTGTTTTTTCCGGATCGTCTCATCATCCGTAGTATAAATTAAATATAATTTATTCAAAAAATCCATCAAATGTACTTACTTATGCCCGTAACTCCTCGTCAAGGAGCGTAAACCGCTCACCAGCATTCTTCATCCAAATCTGTCCTGAACAATTATTTTCACTTGTTTCAAGTTGTTATTCATGCTTTTGATGTTTGCTTCCAATCCTCGTCTTTTCCTAATTTCGTCTTCAGTTAAAAGTTAATTTTGTTCTCTTTCAGCAACACCCTACTATGGGAGAGAATAAGTCAGATTACATCTGAAAAAGATATTAGGAAAAGACTATGGAAGTCGATAGGTCACACACTGAGGAAATCATGAAACTCCATCACCAAGTACACTCTAACTCGAAATCATGAAGTTAAACGGAAAAGATGGAGACCAAACAACACATCAAACCTGTCATCTTCTATCAATTGAAAGTCTCATTCACTCAGATCTTCAAGTATACCACCTTGGAACTTTTATTAAGTTTAAACAACACCATACGATTTATTTATGTTCAGTGAAGAAACATGTCAGTTTGTAAACAAACTAAGCACCTAAATATTGTTTGATCTGAACGATTTTTGTCCCAGACTGAAACCAATTGATGAAGTGTCAAAAATAAACAGGGTTGACACATACTGTATTTATATTGTTAATTTCGTACATCCACAACTCTATAACGAATGAGAATCCAAATGAATAGTGATGATATGGTCGAAATGTTGATGGTTTAAGAAATCAAAATGAATTAATGATGACAGTTTCATTTGATGATGGAGAGTTTTAAATGAAAATTTGTCAGGTTGAACGAGATACATTCTCAATTTCTCATCGAAATGCAGTTTATGGTCGACATGAATGTACAGCTCCTATTCTCATTCGTTATAGAGTTGTGGATGTACGAAATTAACAATATAAATACAGTATGTGTCAACCCTGTTTATTTTTGACACTTCATCAATTGGTTTCAGTCTGGGACAAAAATCGTTCAGATCAAACAATATTTAGGTGCTTAGTTTGTTTACAAACTGACATGTTTCTTCACTTAACATAAATAAATCATATGGTGTTGTTTAAACTTAATAAAAGTTCTAAGGTAGTATACTTGAAGATCTGAGTGAATGAGACTTTCAAATGCTAGAAGATAGTAGGTTTGATGTGTTGTTTGGTCTCCATCTTTTCCGTTTAACTTCATGATTTCGAGTTAGAGCGTACTTGGTGATGGAGTTTGATGATTTCCTCAATGTGTGTCCTATCGACTTCCATAGTCTTTTCCAAATTTCCTCTTCAGTTGGAATCTCATTTGTTCTCTTTCACAGTAGGTTGTTACTGATGGCATCCGGTCAACAGATATTCAGTATCTTGTGTGGACAATTGTTTATGAATTCTTATCCCTTTTTGATCAAAGTTGTGACAGTTCTCGAAGTTTTAGCTCCGTACAGTAGGACTATCTTGACGTTCATATGGAACACTCTGACTATTCTGTTTGCTGAGAGTTTTTATGTTTCAACTGTAAGAATGCTGTCCTTAATTTGCCAATTCAAGTCCTTGCATCTACATTAAATTTTCCTTGTTGATCGATAAGGCTGTCCTGGTACGTGAAAATTTCCACCCCTTTCAGAGGTTTTCCATCAAATGTAATTCAGTTGATGTTCTCTGTATTGTATTTGAGGTTCTTGGTTTTTCCCTTGTCTATTTTGAAGCCTACTGATTCACTGGCTGCTGCTCAAACCGTCAACTTTTAAAACATATCTTCTTGATAAAAATGAACTAATCTTAATAATGTACAATAATTGTCAATTTTAGAAATGTTCATTCACGTTCTGCTGGAAAAGAAACCATTGACATATTAAAATCTGAAGGTAAATTTACTTATCATTTCAATAAGTTTAGAATGATATTAGTGATTTGTTTCAATAACTACTTTATAACATGTATACTTTGCATATCAGTATTATATGTATTGAAATTAAGTACAGGAAGTATGCTAATTTACAGGAATGATCATAGGCAACATGTGAAGAAATCTAAAGCTACATTAATTGGAATTGTGCTGTGCACTACTTATATAGACATAAATAGTATATTACGATAGTCAAGAATAGAATGTATTTCAGTAGAAGATCGAGAAAGAAAGAAGGGGAATGGAAAGCAATTGACATGAAAATACAGGAACAATTGAAATCTGAGACGATGGACTGATATTAACATGAGAAACAGTCAAGTTTGAGACAATTAGTTGATATTTTGCAAGTATTTACTGTATTGTTCTCAGATTTTACTGAGATGTTCTGTAATTTCGTGTTCAAATACATCCGATTGTCCCCACTCTTGTTCTTGTTCGCTACACAATGACCTTATTCGTAAGTTATGTTAAAACAACATTTGTGATAACTTATGGAACATAGTTTCTGTACATGTCTGATGAATGGAAGTGTATGAAAAATATTGATACTCTCAGAAGATAGTGTAACCCGAAGATCATATACATTTCATAATGATAGATGTCTCTGTTATAATTTGTGGTTTGAATGCTTATTGTCTTGGCTCTTTTAATGCTACATTTGTATGTGGTCGTCGCGGATCGTTATGTCGGAAACGCTTATCTCTTATACTCCGAATGAGGGACTTCTGCAATTCCCACGACGCGAAAGTAAGAACACAAAGACTGGTATAAATGATTTATTAACCCCAAAACACGACGACGACGACGATTCTAGTAGAAAATACACTCATTTACATACTGATTGTACACCAATTTTGATTAATAATTAGAATGAAATCACATATATGAAAAATACTTACTGTTATAACAAATTATATGCTAAGCATAGTTCATGTCAATGGAATACAAGAACATCGCATATTATACAGAATCAAATATCATACGAGACAATAAAACAAATACTACATTGAGTAATCATTACATTGAATCAAAACAGAAGTAATGTAATGAGTAAATCAATCGAAAATTGGCTTTTCTTTCCACCATATCAGTCTCGTCTTTGCCATGGAAGAAGTATTGAACAATTTAGTTGCTAGTGTTCTGTATAGGATAGGGTTTATTGTTACTACTTAAAAAGATTTAGTCCACCAGGGTGCTTGGTACCTGTGTGGTTGCGCCACAAGATTGAGCTGTACTATTCAGATTGTAGCTTTAAAGCCTATACGGTGTCTGGTTCTCTTGTGAAGCGGGACTGAGCTGTACTGCTCGGTTTATAAAATGTAAGCCTGGGTGGTGTCTGGCTCTCCTGTTAAACAGGACTGTTTGGGTTGTCACGTGAAAGTCCGGATGGTATCTGGTTCTCCTGAAAACCAATATAAAATTACCCTGGCCCACAAGGGTATATTATATAAATGTAACTGTGTGATTTAAGAAGATTGTATAAAGCATTTAATTCATAGAATAGATACAAGTTAATTGAATCGATACAACAAGTCTGTTGACTTATACTCAGAATTTTAATTGATATTTCGATCTTGGCTAAGTTTATAGAGGTATCACCACCATTGGCTCAGTATTTACTCAAAGAAAAATAACTGATTTTCTTCACTTTTTGTGTAGTATGTTTGTTTTATTATTAAAATAGATAAATTAATCCTTGTACAGAATACATAGAGCTTTTAACAATCTGGTCGAATCAGTATTATCTGTGACAGTAGAACAGTCATCCAGATAGCAACCATTTATAAGACTGTTGTTCATTATGTATATCCACATATATTCACATTATTTTACTGCTCATAAAAATAAATTGAAGATACTATAGTAACCAAGAACACAAGTGGGGAGAATGAAACGTATATACATACAAATTACAGAATCTCTTAGTAAAATCTGAGAACTATCCAGTAAATTTTTCTTTTGCAAAATGTCAATCAATCGTTTCAGACTTCATTGTCCCTTCATTTCCACACCAATCATTCTTTGTTCTCGTTCTCTGTTCTTGAATCTTCTTAACCTTCTGCCACTTGGCATTTGACTTTCTACTGATAATACATACTACTTATATCTGTTGACATCAGTAGCACACATCATAATACCATTGTAATTTCATGGTATTTCACTTTTGGTTTGTGATTAAGTACATTAGTTTATTCATCATATAACTTGAGGTGAAATGCAATGATATACAATAAAGTTTGACATTGAATTCAGTTTCTATTCAATGACGCTCCAGAACATCCTGTTTTATTTAGAATTTAAGGGCATTGAACTTTTCTTTGTAACTCAGACAATTATTAAAATGCTCCAGAAATCAAACGTTTCTTTATGAATCAAGTGAATTTCTTTCTCATTATCAGACAGCTTATAACACACAGAGAAACGTCCCAGATCTTAGTTTCGTAAAGATCCACATATTTGAAATCTTGATAAAATTATCGCTTCCTATAAAATTCGAATTAACATCGTAACTATTTTTACTTGGTATTGTTTACTTGAATCTTCCCATTGATGTTTAGGACTGTAATTGAAGACTTCAATATTGAGGCAATACGCACAGTATGCACATATGCCAATAAGAGACTGATCAATTACAGTCTTAACACGATAGCGTATGAAGCGAACGGTGCTGGGCTCGAGTCACAGAGTGAACATCAACTCTAGGATTCAGGTACTTTCGGCAAATGAGTCCCAAATAGAACGAAATGATCGTCGTAGATTCCACTGCTAGCTACTATCCATTTTTGATCATTGTTATTTATTTTATTATACATATATTTGAATTATTGATCCTAATGAGCTTTTAACACTTGTTCATCACTAATTAGATAATGGTGTTACAAAAAAAACTTTAGATATGACTTTATCAAATAGGAGTACTGTTTTCTTGTTTCTGTTTTCAAATATGTGTCTACAAAAGAGATTATATTTAAGTTGAATTTTAAGTAGTGTATAAACAAATAATAAATAATAAAAAGAGATATTCTGACAGTTGAGATCATTAGTCAATTGAAGCTAGACCACCATGGAAAACCTGGAAGCGCCTGGCTCGAGACTGATAGGACCTGGTTTCAAATTCCGCCAGGCGGGGTCGTGGATGCGCACTGCTGAGGAGTCTTACAATAGGACGAAATGGCCGTCCAGTGCTTCCAGGTTTTCCATAGTGGTCTAGCTTCAATTGATTCATGATCTCAACTGTTGAAATTACTACAATCTCCACAAAACCCCTTCAGATATTCTGAAGTTTCATAACACAGTGTAAGTAACTTCTTCAGAGAATAAATAAATAACCAAATCAAAATGAATCCAAGTTTAATTAGTGTAAAGGAGCAACTCAACAATATGAAGTACAATCAATCTAATTTTTCTATTCATTGAGATATCTACAAATAAATACTATTTCTATTTATAACAATTTATCCAGTGCTCCATTTATTCGAAATTATCAAATCAAAACATGGTAATGATACCTACTAAAGTAGTAGTAGTAGTAATTGTTGTTGTTGAATTCTTAGGAAAGAAACATTTGTAGGTTGTTCCATTTTACTTAAAATTAATAATTACTTATGCCCAACGACCGACTGTCTCGACGTGCGATGTTCAGTGGTACATGAGTAGGTTGGAAGAAAGCTAGGGGCGGCCAGACCAAAACATGGCACAAGTCCATGAAGTCATTGATAAGTGGAGTGAGTCATGTTGGTAGGGGTAGACTACCTGGTTGGGGACCGCGAGATGATAGCAACCGATGGTTAGAGACCCTGAATGACATGGGTCAAAATCGTTTGCAATGGCGCAGGTGCATACACTCTTTGTGTTCTCCCAAATTCTAATCTTCTGAATTCTTCATGTCCCTTTTTTCTTCTTTCCAAATTTATTTCACTGGATTATAGTCTTTAAATAACATCTCCAAACCCTAATCTTCCCGATTACTGCTTATACTCTTATTACCTCTACCACTACGGGATTTGAATCGACAACTGCATCTCTGTGCTAATGTAATGTGGTATGGCAACTCGAACTGATGTAATTACGTGCGAAGTTCTACATTGTTTCTGACTGACTGATTAATTTTGTTAGAAATGTTGTAGAAAGAAAAAAATATTGTTAAGTGATATGAGATTATTTGAATTTTCAAACATCTGCTCATAATGCATAATATGACTATTGAATTGATATAAGTATTAAACAACAAAACTTCATTATTTTTTATGCCTTGTATATACTCAAAACTAATCTGTCTGTATAGATTTAAGCCAAAAGTAATCATCATCATTTGATTGAATATACCATATGTTTGAATACAGTAGAGAATTCCCATAATGAAATAGTGGTTTGTTACAACAGTTGGTTGTTTGTTTGTTTTTTTAATCACTGAACTTGAAAATTATTCAGATGAAATAATTTCTACGAATATTCATTAATGGTTTAAGGAGTTCCATACTAGGACGAAACGGCCGTTCAGTGCTTCCAGGTTTTCCATGGTAGTCTAGCTTCAATTGACTCATGATTTCAATCTGTGAAATTTCAAAATTCTCCACAAACCCCTTCTTAGAGTATAGAAAAGTCAATAGATGAGCAAAATTATGTTTGAAATAATAATCTCAGTGATTGAAATTTAAAATAAAACATTCCAATGTTTCGTCCAACCAACTTGTCTGAACTTCTTCAGGAGAATAATCGAAATCAAGATTATCAAAGAAATACACATATATATATATCGTTTAACAACCATAACAAATCATATCTATGCTGTGCTAATCCAATCGTATTTAGATATTGACTTGAGTAAAGAGGAGAACATAAGTCAGTTATATGAGAATCATGTGTGAAGTTCAAGATGTGAAAATAAATGACTGAATGAATTATATATATATATATATGTAATGTATGGTGTCGGTCATTATGTTAAGCCCACATATCTCATTCTCATTTTTGGACAGGCCAATCTACTTGAGTCACATTCTGACCTTGTTAATTATTCGCTTATCAATCTTGACTGTTTTTATATGAGTGCGTAGGTGTGTGTGTGTGTGTGCACTTCTTATCCCACTACTCATCAAATGTCTATAACTTATTTTTGTGTAACTATAAATATTGATTAACGTTTGGTTAGACCACTGAATCGGTATCCAACACTGTTAATGTCTAACTTCAATCGATTCATGATCTTGTACAACTCTTTATCCATTGTCTAAGGTAGATGACTATTTCACACCCGATACAGATTAAACTCCACAGATCATGGCTTCTCGCTAGAACTTCATAAAATCCATCTTGAAGCTAGTCACTCATAAGCAGATGATTATTATCAGAATGGGAAATCGTGGAGATTATAGTATTTTCACAATTAGAATTCATAAGTTCAGTGCTCCCACTTTTTCATTGGTGGTTTACCTTAGATCAATTCATGAATTCAACTGTGAAGAAAACTATTGTATTAACGATAATCATTAAAAACTATTGTATCATTATTATATGTTGATGGCCTTATCAATATGTTAAATTTATTTATTTATTTATTTTAATACATAAATATTGGTACAAGGAGGCACCAAACACATATGCGCCACATAAATCATTCGATTTGCGTGAGGGCTGTGATACAACCTGGGTGCCCAAACCGAAGCAGGTGGTTTCTTAAAAGGCCACACTCGGAGTCTTCGACCTGAAGGTCTGGTCCAAAAGGTAGTCCCATGGCAGTCGGTGACCAACGATTGGTCCATACGCCATTTGTTCCTTCAGGATACTGGAGCCTATATGCACCATTGGTTTCGAATCCGGTTAAAGCGCCGAACATTCGCCTTTCGTCCTCTCAATTTCGTAAACAACACCCCCCAAGAGAAGGCATTGAGTAGGACTTCCCTGGCAGAGGCTATATACGCGTGACCATGTGAGAGCATTTCGAGAGGGGGAGCGGACTCTCCCCACTCTCGGCTGTGCCAGGGCATTTGTAAAATTATTGTTCAGTGTTTTGTTGAATGAATGTCATTAAAAACCTTTATCATTATTTAATGATTACAGTTAAAAGTATAAAACGTTTTCTCTTCTATAACTTTTTGTTTTTTGTTATTCATTGTTAATCTACAATTAGCTTAAGTATTAATGTATTAATTTTGTTTACAAATAAAATGGTATTAATTGATGATTTTAGGTGTTACAAAAGTTCAACTACATGCTTTCGATGGTCGACCATCCATTGCAATGATTGGCTTAAGTGAAGGTTATTACTTTTCAATACCATCTAGTTTACCAAGAAGTAAACAGGTAAATAATTCTGTATAGTGTTAGGGTTTCTTTTTTAAAGAAAATTTATTTATTTTAATTGTTGAATTCATGAATCAATTGAAACTAAACCACCATGGAAAGCCTGAAAAAACTGGACGACTATTTCGTTCTAATGAGTTACTCCTCAGCAGTACGCACCTACGATCCCCCACAAGAGAGATTCGAACCCAGAACCTATTAGTCTCACGCGCGAGCGCTTAACCACTAGACTATTAAACCGGTATCCAACAGTGTAAATGTTTAACTGCAACTAATCCACGAAGTTGCGCCACCGTCCACCATTATCATCAGTGTGTTACTATGTCACAACTGACCTGATTGAATTTCATCGGGTAGTTTGTAGTTTGTTTCTTTGAATAGTTTTTATTTGTCTAAGTAGTCATTTGTATCGGTGGGTTTGTTTAAATGATATGTTTAGATGGTGGTTGGAGGTAGTCAACAGGAAACCCTGGACCCGGGTTTCGTGCTACTTGGCACTCGTCAGCAAGGTGTACCTATAATCTTGAGGGAACTGGTGCTCCCTGGCGGATTCGATCTCGTGTCACCCAGCTTCACAGTCAGAGACGTTACCACTGAGCTATCCGAGCCGTGACTAACCTCCTGTGGGACTGAGACGTAATCATTATTGATTGATCACTGGGTGGTGATCAATGCCGTGCTTACACTAATAAGGGCTAGACAAGTATGGCATTGATCACCACCCAGTGATCAATCAATTGTGAAATGATATGTTGCTAAGATAATTAAAAGTGTTATTTTTATTTTATTTAGTTGTCTACATGTTAATTATTGACGATAGAATTTGATGTGTTATTTATAATTATGGTCTCACATGCGGGATAGTGAATGCGCACCTCTGAGGCATCGTATACTAGGATGAAACAGTGCTTCCAGGTTTTCCATGTTGGTCTAGCTTCAATGGACTCATGATCTCAACTGTTGAAATTACTACAATCTCTACAAAACCCCCTTCTCAATATAAAACTAACAATAATGTAATCATTCAAATAAATCATGAAACATATCATTCTCTTTACACTAACATATTACGTAACTGAATTTGTTTTTTGTTTATTACATAATAATAAATCATCTCATAGTAATATTGTCTATATATTTAGGGTGTTTGAAATTTAAATGAATGATATTAAAGTGAAGTTGTTAATAAAGATAGAACAATATTTGATATCAGGGGAATACTTCTCTCCTTTGATAAATTTCTATGGATATTGTTTAAGCCTTCAGTGATACATTAATGAAATGGAAATAGAATGTGATATATAACTTAGTATATATGGACGCTTTTTTGTAGTATAGTTAGTATGATATCAAGAACAAACAATAGAAAATGAAACAGTGTTTTCATTCTAGTATCTAATATCTAACTGATGTACACCATAGATACCATTAAAGTTCGAACCAAGAATATTTAAGTGTAATTGCTGGAGGTTTTTTTCTCTGAGCTAGATGGTTTGGTCTTGGAGCTTGTTATGTTCGTCAACTTGAATGCTACTACTGATTCCTCTTACTCAGAACGGAACGAAGAATCAAGGATTCAGAGGCTCGATAGGCTATACTGGTCCGTTGTCCCCGACTCAGCTAACTCGATTCAGAAGTCTTGGTAAGATGTAGAAAGTGTATTCTACAGACAACCAGAAGATACCAGGTTCATGAAGCACACAAATCAAACGTATTTATACAAAATATATATAATCGATATTGCCATGGAAGTTTTTAACATTTAATCGATAAGTTCGTCAACCTACAATTGCGTGGGTGGTAAAAAATGCCCAAGCATACATCTGCATACAAGCTTTACAAAGATAAAATTACAAAATATGAGTTTTGGGGATCTAACGTCCCCAACAGAACTCTACATCATCCACCTGAGCTACAAATCTCCTCCACAATTTAGGTGTTATGACAAGTTAATCGACTAGATTTATAAATATGAACCATTAAAATGTCATTTTAGTAGACTCAAATTAACAGAGTAGCTACGAGTCCTGATATTCCTTTGCCTCATTTGTATTAGTCGTTTGAGTATACTAGTAATCAATTATACAGTAGAAAGAAACAAATGTTCACTGATGCTTGATTTTAATTGTTTGCTTAGCTAGAACTAGCTCATAATATTAACTGTCATGGGAAGAGTATATCTGTACCGAATTGTACATCTACAAAAAGCATCTCGTTACTATGCCGAATTTTAAATACTTATAACACGTTAGTATGCTATTTGCAAATTTATGCTTATTCAACAAAATGGTTATAGGAGGCACAATATTTCCACACAAATGCGTACATAAAGCTACATGGGTCTCAACGTATCATACTACACAGAACCAGATTGATAATATCTGTGTCACTCAAAAATTCAAAAGGTCAATAGAAGATGTGATAACAAGGAGAGGAGCTGACGTAGCTTCAGATCACCACCTGGTGGTTGCCAACATGGAACTGAAGCTAAAGCACTTAGCAAACAGAATTAATAGGGTTCAATACAGCCTCCCTTCGAGATACTGACAAACGCAAAGTAGGGGCGGCGTTCTTACGGTTGAAAGACATATGGGACTTAAAATAACTGTCAACCAATATCAAAGTCAGAATCTTCAATACAAACGTTTACAGAGTTTCACTGTACGGAGCTGAAGTCACCAGAACTACCACAACCATCATCAAAGCAGTATAAGTATTCACTAACAATTGTCTACACAAGATACTCAATAACTGTTAACTGGATATCATCAGCAACAGCCTACTATGGGAGAAAACAAACCGGGTTCTATCTAACAAGTAAATTAGGAAAAGACGATGGAAATGGATAGGACACATGTTGAGGAAATTATCAAACTGTATCACGAAGCAATTACTAACTTTGAATCGTTAGAGAAAACAAGAAAGAGGAAGACCAACGAACACATTGCTTCGAGAATTGGAAGTACACATGAAAAGGATGAATAGCAACTGGAAAGGATTGTCCAGGACAGATATGGATTGAGACTGCTGGCGAGCGGCCTATGTTCCTTCATGAGGTGTAACAGGAGTAAGTAAGTAGATATGCTATGAGAAAAAACCTGAAAAATGCACATGAAATTACATATGCATTAGAATAAGTGTTCAGTACCTTATGCTCTTATTTTAGAGATGTTCAACGATTTGTTTTAGAGCCACTTCTATGAATTCCAAGCTCTTGTTCTCATCACATATTACTCTCATTGATTCACAAGCACAAGAAATCGAATTCTTTAGAAGTGTGGAGTTGTACAGAGAGTAGGAGGAAGGTAGAATAATCTCTGGCATCTTGTACATTTTCCTGGGGCCACGGTATTCCAGCACGAATACTAGTCCTCTAGAGGATTATCATTGCATCTGATAATGGATTGTTATTAAAGTAGCCATCTTAATCAGAGCATAATTTTCACTAAAATCTCCTAGCCTAAAAAACTTAAAACACCATGTTGTTACTCTCTGCGAATATTATTAACACTGTATTTAGTGTGGGGTTGGCAAGGAGAGAAAACACTTTGCCAAAGCGTATTACTGTATGTGTCATGCTGTGACATAAGAGCGAGTCCAAGACATTTTTACCTTGTGTAGGTTGTGTGACATATTGTTTGGCTATAAGTTTCTATAACGACAACGTTTTCTTCGTGTCATTGAAGAAGAAAACTACCTGTCCTCAATTGATTTCAGGGAGGTTTAAACCATCAACGATCTTTAAAAGTCATCGTTCAATTTTGAAACATGTGCGAACATTTTGGAAAATGCTGTATCAGTTTCAGTTTTTTGAGTTTGGTCCCCTATACACATATCCATAGACATCTTTTAACTAGAACTACGTACAGTATGAATTGAGCAGAAGTAATTATTTCATATTTCTTTCGAGTTTGATAGAAATGATTTATGTAAGATGTTTAGTGATCAATGGAGATACAGTTGAGAGAACGAATAAATATCTAGATGTAACAATTTTCAAACTGCTCCCAGCATCTAATGAGTCAAAACGGAAGTAGACCATCCTGACATATATGTTGTAGCCTACTTTGATTCCAGCACAGAAGGCAAACGCGATTAAACTAATCCTACATGGAATTCGTAGTTCTGTGAAAATTAAAGATGACACGGATATTCAGTACTTATGAAACCTTCGTAACCAAGAATCCTAGAAGCAGTCAATCTCTAATTCAGGAACGAAGGGGTATAATGATATCTTTGGAAGATAGTCGATGGGTAAAGAGGTATATAATCTGAGCCAACTACTTAATACGAGGGATCTGGCGTGTGTGTTTGACAGAGCTCTTACAGTATAGGTGCGTCTAATGAAACTAATATTAAATGCTTAATGAACGATTAATTTTAGTGATTCTGTATGTAACCGAAATCGTTTCTGGTACGACCACTTGACACACAAGAGTACTTCGTGAACCTTTATCTTCACTTTACATGAAGTGAATCTGTAGTATACGCGAGCAAAATAAGTCGTGTTTCCTTAATAATTTTGACCTTACTTCGCCTTAATTAAGTAGTGGTTTCATTTAATTTAATCTCTATAAATGTTACAATGTTCTGAAGTATCGATGGAGCACAACGTAATCTAAAAACTGTTGATTCTCATAACTAACTAATTAGTACGCTAGTGTTCACTAATGGACTGAAATTGAGGGTGGACAACACAGAGAATTTACTTAAATGAATTACATATTGAAATCAGAAATACGCGGCCACGCGGTTACGAGAGGAATATATTTGTAAAACATGAATACATCTCAGCAGATTTTCTGTTACACTTACAGAAAGTACATAGAGGAAACATCATACAATACCAGAGCATACACCATGAAAACTAATAAGTTTTCATCAAACAAATAAAATTGAAGATGCATTAGGTATTCGGAGTTTGACAACGCATTAACCAGTAAAACCTTCTAATATGAATCGTACCCACCAAGTGAAATCAAAAGACAGAAGTTAGGAGGTTCGAAGATATATTCGAT